CACCTCCCCCTCCCCCCAGCCATTCCCACCCCTGGCAAGCCCCCACTGCCCCAGTGTCTGTGTCTATTGGTTATGCTAATATGCATGCATACAAGTCCTTTGCTTGCTCTCTAACGCTCCACCTCCCCTGCCACTGTCTCTGGATCCATTTTTGTTCATCAAATTATGTTGACCATTATATCCCACATATGAGTGAGATCATGTGATATTGTTGTGTCCTTTTTTATTATATCACAGCTGTGGCTTCTTCAGGTATTTACTTTCTTTTCTACTATTTCTGAAATAAAAATTACACATATAATATATATGTGTAAATATGTTTCACATTATTTTCAGGTCACTAAATTATAACAATGCAATAGTGAGCAAGTGTGTATATGATGTGTTATAATAGGAATCAATGTTTTATTATACCACATAAAACAAACTTTAAAATATCAAACTATATTTTTCTAGATAAAGTGAATGAACCAGTAAAAATAAGTCTCTACTTCTACTGAATTAATCTTTGGGGTTAGTAAACCAAGTAGAGAAGCTCTGGTTTTCAATGTAATAGGGGAGAGACAAACGATTAGAAAAAAAGTCCTCTATGACAGGTTGTGAGAAAACTCTGTAAGAATTTGAATATATACTCGTAGGGCTTTTGTAATGCAAATCCTGATTATTTTTATGTTCCTAACTTCTCATCTTTTTCAAACAACTTATCCATGTTGGGAGCCCAATGATAAGCCACTGCTAAGTGAAATGGCTAGTATTGCCTCTGTAGCTACTGTATTTATCCAAAGAGAACACATTAGTATTGTTCCTAAGTAGATAGAGTCACTGCTTCCTTGTTTTACTCCTTTCATAAATATGCATTCAAAATTCTGGGTGTAATGAGAGCTTAATATGCTTTCACCATGTGGTTAAAAGCATTGGGAAGGATTAGGAGAAGCTTTTGTCTCAATCTTATTTTTCTATTCTAACAGATCCAAATGCACTGCAAGGGTCTAGTCCAGTGGTTCTCAACCTTCCTAATTCTGTGACTGTTCAATACAGTTCCTCATGTTGTGGTGACCCCCAATTTCATAGTTACAAATTGAACATAATTAAAGCATAGTGATTAATCACAAAAACAATATGTAATTAAGTTTTTCTCCCCCCCAAAGGGGTCGCGACCCACAGGTTGAGAACCACTGGTCTAGTCTATAACGCCTAGATGACAGTTCTAGAAAATATCTCCTCCAATACCTAAGATTCTAAGACATATTATGTTTAACTATTAAATCTATTTAGTGTGCTTTGCTCCATATGAATATTATTATTTTGTAGGCCCACTTTACATTATGTAGACAAGTATTTTCCCTTTAAAAATGTTAATGTGTTGTTCATAATAAGCCAAGATTTATTTCTTCTTATATTCTTAATACATTACAGATAAGTATATTTAAAATATCTCTATTTTTTCCTATCTCTGTCCACTGAAAGGGCTTATCAGTAATGGTCCACCAATAGCAATAAACAAGCCAAATTACTGTATCTTGGTTCCTAAATATACCATTCTTCCCTGAAAGAAACAGGGTTCCTTGGGGAGGAAAGACAAATTCCAGAGCTGGGGAAGAAAGAGAACAGGATAAATTTGGAATATATTTTAAATATATGTCATGAAGCCAGGAAGTATTTAAATAATCAGTAGGACATGTGAAAGGGACAAGTGAAGCATCTTGAAAGAGCCTCTGCAGAAAAAATCAGGGACAATTAGAAGATTAAAATAAAAAATATATATTAGTAGTAAATTTTAACCCATCGATTAAATAACAACCTAGGTTTCCCTACTGATTCAAAGTTTTAAAACAATATCTAGGATTAAATGTAAAGGCGTGTGCATTTATTCATTAGTTTAGTTCATTCAGTATATTTGTATCATGCAGTTCTACCACCAATGACTTCAAGGACAAACTGTAGGGTAAGATCCTCTCCCTGACTACATACAGATAAGGCTTAGAACAAATACCAATTACTTACGCAATTATCCCCTTAGACACTGAGCAAATGCCAACATGCTGGGAACTTTCTGGGGGGGAAAAAGCTTCAAGTATGCATTTGCAATTCTACAACTTTACTTTAATGCTATATATCTGTCATATATTTAAGTATGGTGCTGTCATTGTTCCCTGACAGAAATGACCTTTGACTTGGCTCCAAAAGGTCCATATCCTCCTCCCATCTTTCTGGCTACATCTCTCATAATTTCTCCTCGCAGCTCCTCATTCAGCTATTCTGGTTTGGCCAGGCACTTAGGGGTTGGAAAAGCCCTCAGGTTCCAAGGTAAGAATAGTTAAGTTCTGTTAAATAAAAGGTAATGAGTGTCTCAAATACCACTCTACTACTCTAACTTGAAAAGATAAACCACAGAAAACATGCTATGGAATCATGATTTTAATTAAGTAGTAACTTGTATTCAATGCTAACATATTTAAAAGTAGACTGAAAATCTATAATAAATAATGGTAATAGAAAAACTGAATTGTAAGCTGTATATAAAAATTACTCAATCTTTTCACAATGTTTTCATGGGTATAGTTTGCTTTAAATATGAACGATCATATTTCAACATTTTATTTTTTCAAAATGAAACAACAATAGACTTTCTACTGATTACAGAATATAGCTATAGTACAGAGTTAGTTTATGGCTACTAATTAAAATATGTCATGAAAACTCTTCTGAATATAAATGTTATACTAAGTCATAACAACAAAAAGATAGCCATTCATTTATTTAACAATGATTTGAGTACCTACTATATACTACTATTATATAGTATATAGTACTACTATTCTGGTCCATATGTACCCAAGGTTGAATTAATAATGTTTCTGTCCTAAAGAAACTCAGTAGTGATAAGAGCAGATACGTAAATCTAACAGTAGAAGAAGGGGAGGCTTCCTAAAAGAGGGAATGCTTGAGATGAAGTTTAAGAGATGAGTCACAGCTTCTATGTCTCTGGATCTATTTTGGTTCAGCTATGGTGTTCATTATATTCCACAAATGAGTGAGATCATGTGAGGGCATGTGCTGGGGGACGG